TGGTCAGGCTCGCTGCCTTGGTTGACACATGTCACCGGTTCCCAATTGAGCAAATCGATGCTCATGCTGTTGATCACTGTGTTGTCTGGTCCAAACTCGATTATTTATAGACCGCCTTCATATAGCTGGAATATTGCTGAGTGCGGCGTAAAACTAAACTCACTCACTCAACTCCAGTCCACTCAGCCCTACACCACTCTCTTTATTCCTCTCCCCTCCGTTCCGTGTCCATCAGCTCCGTTCGGCTCCGCTCCACTCCTCAGCTCTTCGCTCCGCGTCTCCACTCCGGTCCACCATACTCCACTGCTCTGTGTTCCCCTCCCCTCGATCCGCTCCTCACCCCTCTGCTCGGCGTGACACTGCATGGCATCGCATCGCACCTCACGATAATCACTTACATAAGAAAGAGTGACCGATGCGACAAACTAATCCGATATAATTGGTAGAACGTGATCCGATAAACTTGATCTTCTGATCCGATCCACTTGATCTTTTAATCCGATACATACACTAATGACCACCTCCATACAAGCTTCATGTCGTGCCAGTTAACATGCTCCGAAAACTAGTCCCTATTTTGCACACAAGGTGTAGAGGTTTCCGTTTGAGTGAGCACATATATAATCAAATATGATTGTAAATCACTTCAATGCTGACAAATTTATCGATTACAACTTCTTTTGTTTATTAAGTGCAGAATTCGATACAGATTATAACACATACCGAACACGTGATAGGAAGCACGTAATATGTTGTGGGTAGCTGTTGCCCCAAAAAAAAGAGGCGAAAATCTGTCCTAACAGTTCAATAGTTGACAGTCTGTGCCATAAAATGCCGCCGCGACTCCCCCCCCCGGTTTACGGCTTCCTTCTTTTTAGGGGCTATGGGGTAGCCTAGTGGTTAAAGCGTTGGCTCGTCACGCCGCAGGCCCGGGTTCGATTCCCCACATGGCTACAATGTGTGAGGCCTATTTATGGTGTCCCCCGCCGTGATATTGCTAAAAGCGGCGTTAAACCATGCTCACTCACTCACTCAGGGCTTCTTCTCAATTAAATGGGTTTATTTGTTACTGTCAAAATTATATGCATTCAGGGACTAAGCGTTAGTCTGGGGACCTCAGTGAATCAAGTCTAGATTTTCACCATGTTCAGCCCTGCAGCAGTTCACCCACAAAGGTTGTCAACTCACTTCTCTGGTCGGTTTACAGAGTAAACATATCAAACTGTCATGGCGGGCTGGACACATATTTTCGCCAGTGGTCAGGAATCAGGACAAACATTTGCATCTCTCAGCTCTCACTTAGTAGGCACTGGAGCGACCAGAAGCTGGGCAAGCTGGGACCTGAGACCACATATTATTATAGTCTTTGTTGGGACCTATGCTAACGCTTTGTCTCTGAATATACACAAAGAACATAATTAAGCACCCCCTGTGTTTTTGCAATGATAGGCTTTCAACACGTACATAAAACTTCTCGTAGAGACCACGATGGAAACTCTTGAGTTTTTCTGACCCCTATGATCCTTTGACTCATACCAAACGAAAAAATGATTGGAATCCATGTTGATTTTATGATGATAATGTTCGTTTTAAAAAAACCAAACCACACACTGATTTTCATACAAAACCATGTCTGTACAAGTATGGCCCTGGAATGTTTACTGTTGAATTTATTGGTGAATTTGAACATGCAAAATGTCATTTTGCGTGTCTTACACGATTCAAGGTCAATACCGAGTGTAACCTCCATGTGACTGTATGACAGCCAACACTCTCCTCCTCATACCCCTTGTCAGCCTGCTGATCCTCTGCAGGGGCAGTCTGCGCCATTCCTCGTGTAAAGCAGTTCCAATTGGGCCAGGTTCTGTACAGGAGGATCCCTTTGTTGCACACGAAGGCCAATCATGTCCAAGATATGACCGGGGCTCATTCAATCGTGAGATATGTCAGGGGGTGCTTAACTAAGTTCTTTTTGTGTATATATATATAATTTTGATAGAAACAAACAGTTCCCTATTTATTGAAAAGGAGCCCAAATGAGAAGGGGGTTCAGCGTTAACTGAAATCAGAGACCATATAATAGATCTATTATATGGTCTCTGCTGAAATCTAGACTGGCTTGATTTGGGCATTAGCATTGCAGAAGGTATCCTCCCATTACCCCTACATCCCATTACCCCTACAGCTTATAACAACAAAATTCACGGTCCAATGCACTGCTAATCCCCTTCCTGTTACCTGTTGCCTGGACAATGGACTAGCCCAAACACATGAACACAAGATTTAATGTTTTAATTTATGGATTTAATTACACAAATAAATGAATATAATACACAGATATCTTCCTGGTCGTGACATGAATATCAGCAGCAGGTCATGTTAACTTTTTAATGTTAATTGTTGTCTTTTAAACAAGTCTCTATCCCAATTTGAGGAGATGGCCCACAGCGTCAAGGAACTGCATTGGTGTTTTCAGCCCAAGATTGAGCTGCTCCTTGAGGCGACACAAACGATGCTCCATCTCTCTGTACACTCTCTTTCTGCTTCTCTGTGCTGCTCCAAAGTCTATCTGGGACATTTTCGCTCTCTCAGCGTGTTCAACTTTCCTGATCACCTCCACAAATCGGTAGATGTTGGGGTGTCGATGTGGGAGTCCCCGGTTCAGGCGGTTGTGGAATCCCTCTAGGTTGTTGTCTGTCCTTGGACCTGTTGTTGAGTGATGGTTCCACAGTGGCAGACGGAATCTTGCGTCGTCGTCGACCCAGGTAGTCACCATGTAATCGTTGAAGGTGGCCGCTCTTGGTACATCGGGAGCGTCGTCCATGGCGTCAACCCACATGTCCTGGATACTGTTCTGGGGTAAAAGGGGGTAGTCTAGCCGCTCTTCTTACCCATCTGGATATTTCCAGATCCTCTCTGTAGCAAGTCCCAGATCCTGGACCTTCCTCCAAATGGCCTGACAGTACTGGAAGAAGCAACCCTTCACTTCAGCAGTCGGAAACTCTCTCTCTATAGCATGAATTGCCGCCAGCTCAAAGTCTGTCTGGACACAGGATGGGGCAAGCGGCCGGTTAAGTCTCTGCTGAACTTCATTCTTGATGAATCTGAAGAGTCTGGAGTAGGTCTCAGTCTGACGGTTGGGGAGTAAGGTGAAGATGAGGGGATAGGTTGTGGTTCCACGTCTTGCATGTAGGATGTACACTTGATTCCACAGACCAGGGCAGGCAGTAAAGGTTCCATCCATATAGATGATTTCAGAAGACTGCAAGACCTGAAGACTATCCATGGTGCCAAATGCCAGGATCTTATCGTCATCACCATCTGAAAACAGGAGGAAGGATCGACCATCTGCTGTCTGCGTCCAGGAATCTTGAAGGTTCACTTCCGATCTCGTCTGCGGCAAAACAGGAATTGTCTTCTGTCGATGGCGGTACATAGCACTGCTCATGGTCGGGAAGGATGGCATCAATGGTATCTTATCATCGTCCAAGTTCGTAATCTCGTTGTTGTAGAGGGTGTGCATCGATGTTGACTCCTCCCTCGCTCTCTTCCTCAGGTTGCTGACAAACCGGACTGTGGGACTGTGAGACAGACTAGGAAAGCGCGTGTGTTGTAAACTGAGATATGCCCAACTAGTTTAATAACCAAGTATACTTTTTTCACATTATATTTTACGTGGTAGCAGTTCATCTTGTTAGGAATAACGTGTACCGTCTATTGTAAGATTATAACAATAATATACTGGTCTGTCATACAGACTCTAAACAAATATACCCAAGAAAGCCCATGCAAGTCTAGAATATGTGGCACGTCTAGATTACCACAGTTTCAGGTAAATGAAGATAGTCTCTGGGCTTCTTTTCATTATACTTTATGATTGTCACTTAGGAACTGTTCTTTTTCTGTAAACAATGTTCATTTCAGATACTGGATGTTAGTCTAGAGTCGTGCTTATTTTTTGAATGAATTCCGATTGTTCCTGCCATGCATTCACAGCTAGTTCACTTTTTCCTTCATTATTTGCTATTAGATATACTGTATGTTTGTATTCTGCTTGAATGCGTGGACTTATCGTCATTATGATGCAACAAACCTGAAAGATCTGTTTTCCCGCGTTCGAGCGCTCATCTGATAGTGAACTACCTGAGGGAAGTTGATCTGTATCATAAATTGTAACTGTGAAATGTGACTATTATAAATTGTAACTGTGAAATGTGAAAATTGCCTGCCTTTAAATTTGGTGCTATGACTTTATCTCCTTTTAAACGACAATGTATAAAATGAATATATGTTTTCGAAATAAAACTCATTCCGAGTATGTACTTACAATGTTTATTAATGCAAACTTGTTCTCGTCACTATATGGCTGGAATAATGCCGATGTGACACAAAACCCAACTCAACTACTGTATATGTTTGTATTTTATCATTTTTAAAACTGAAGTGGCAGGAATGGTTTGACGTCATACGTTTAAATTTTCAGCTGCAAATCGGAAAACACAAAACGGTTATCTCCTAAATCTGTCTGATGATTCGTCGCAGATAAAAATTGACCACCTAAAGCACACAAAAGTTCTGATTTAAGTTAACTAAACTTTCTTAAAACATTGAATAATAATAATAATAATAAAAACTTTCTCTGTTTTATTTTAGTAGTTTTAATCTGTCAAACATAACATAGAACACAGGTTATATATTATTAGTTGTTATACATATATTATTGTAAACATCTAAATATCGGTGAATGCAAAAATTATACTAACAATTAGTTTAGATTGGAAGAGTAGAAATCATATAGATACATGAAATATCAAATAAAGTGAAATCACCCAGATAAAAAGAGACCGTTCTTTGTTAAAGGTATACCATTATCACATCTAAATATAATTATCGCCAGTGCAGTATGGGTGCAAAGCTATCCAGTTTACAGCGCTTCCAACAAGATTGTCACCCTCGAGTTACTCACCAGGGTGAAGGTCGTGCTGGGGACAGAGGTCAGGGGTCACGGCAGGGGTATAAATGCACGCGAACCCATACTTCAATCACAAGAACAGTTAACAACAATGGCGCTTAATCAGGTTAGGTTACGATGTGTAAACGGTTTACTGGCTTACAATGGCTGCGTTACATCAGCTGTAGTCCTTAGAGTACCCCAGAGTCGAGACCGTGGCGGGGAAAGGCACGCAAGTTCTGGGAACTCTCAAAAAACATCCTCAAACAGACTGAAATGGCTGGCGCTCGGATCTGCTACTGTTGTCGGTATGTTGAAAAATCGTTGAAATACGTATAGTGATGTGGCGTTCGTCGTGGTTCTCCGAGCAGTATATAATAGCATCCTAATCATATTCATGTTCAGCGACCACTGCTTTGAAATATTGTCTAGCTGTAACAGTTGTGATTTTTGTATGATAAAGGATGCGATGTTTCTAGAATCGATATCGATTGATCGATGGTTGATCAGCAACTGGTGGTGCAACGTGACTTGTTTCAATTGCCTCTAGTAATTCCTGGTGGGTGCAATATATCAAACATTTATTCAGGACTTCCACTGGTCATTTAACACTCAATATTCATGAATATCACTGAAGGGGGCGTGACGGTACGTACGTACGACAGGTCAGTCTCTGTAGACAAAACAATACCCTACTGCAATAGAGAAAATTAGAATACAGAACGCTACCTACTAGGGTAGGGCCATTCCTCACTTTTCAGTGTAGTCAAACTGGCACTGATCTTTCACTTCAACCAGCACTCTATCACTGCCACCGAAGCCTCACCAGCTGCCCTGGGAGGATAAAATGCTAAAGTACTGTCGGAAATGCTGGAAAATGCTTTTTGACTTTTATGGAAAAATCAGAGATATTTCAGTTACTTAAATAACAAATATCACTTTAAGAAACATCTACCTAATGTAGACCGAGGGAATAAATTTTGAGACATGCCCTAAAATGTGTTTTTACATATGAAAATATCAAAAACTTAGAAAAATAAGGGGTAGTGGAACGTTATTTGATACAAACATTAACTGCTTGTGTTATGTCATCAGCATGCACGATATTGACAGGTGAAATTGACACCTGAGCACAAGCTCGGGCGAGGGGTCATCTGAATACATCTTTTTCTTCATAATGTTGAATATGTGTACGTATAGTATACATATTGGTTATGTAAGGGATCATGTGATATCCACATTTCGCACACCAACAACACCTATATATATATATATATATATGTGTGTGTGTGTGTGTGTTTTGAAATAAACATACAAAATTATTGTGCATGAGAAAGAATCCCATCACTTGTGTTATTTTATCGATTGATTGTAGAAATGTGCAACGTTTTAATAAATCTTTTGCATGTCATTAGTATATTTCTTTGCAAAAATATGGATGTAATTCGGTCAATTTAATCCAGTTGTGAACATTGGCGAAAGATTTAACGAAGTCACTGGTATAGCTTCCCAGTTTTGCTTTTGAGACTGTCCCTGTCTTGTCTGATTTGTTTACAATATTGTAAACTTGTTGGTAAGACATACCAACAGCTCTAAACGTTCTGTAATAAATCCTTTCTAAACTAATGAAAGGTTTACCTCTGTCTTCGTCAAGCACAAAAAACTTATAAAACTTTGCAACAATCGACTGCAAATCGTTGGCCATAGTGAATGCTGTGATAAAGATGTGCATGCATGACAGGAAACTTATTTATTAAGACCTAACATTTATATTAATTTTTCTTCAATGAAGAAACGATAAACAAGTAAAGTAACACAAACATTCAACATTTATTTGTTAAAGAGAAACGTTAATTTATATTTTTGCACAACCTGTATTATTAGCATAAATTTAAAGACTATTTCAGATTTCTCATGTTAAACTCTGACTAAATCTTGAGTTGTTGTTTTGGTACCAAATTCTCTTCTGTAAACTGCCCTTTAAATGCATGGAAATGTTAAATCGATTGAAATAAAAATTAGGTACACTATAGGCGAGTTGATATATTGACAGCATAGTACATTTATCACCTTTATCAAAGTATTAAGGTTAAATAGCATTTTTCTAGTATTTCCGACAGTACTTTAGTGTGTCTTACAGTTCCTGAACCACATTATTTTCCCTACTGCCTAGCCCTTTATTTATTTGTTACTGTATCCAGGGAGTAAGCGTTAGTCTAAGGATTTGCCAGCAGATTCAACTACCTGTCACAACTATAAGGACAGCAGACATTAAATTTGATACCATGTTTATATGAATATATCCCCACCAAAGGGTGAGTGTTAATTACTTTATCATCCAAAACTGTGTTCCACAGTAGATATCGCTTGTGTGAGATCAGACGATATCTCCTAGGAGATATTGTTTTGACAGTAGATTTTGTACAATGCCCTGACAATGCTATGACGTCATGAACTTGTTGATGTCACAATGTTATGACATCGCTGCACTGCAAATCTATTGGCAGTACTGTGTTCAGAGATGTACATTTTTCATTGAAAACTAATGAAGAGTGACTTTTGATGATAAATAGAATCTCACCCTCGTGTCTTCTGATATCAAATATATCAACACTCGTTGATAAAAGCAAAAATATCCTCGGCAAGCCTCAGATATTTGTTGCTTTATCAACTTGTGGCGATATATTTGATATCAAAAGACGCCGGGTGAGATTCTCTATTTCTTCCTTAACCATGTAAACGAGCAAGCAAGAGAACAGTGGAAGCCCATCAGATGCGTTTCTTTAGAAATCCGTGATGGCTCTAGTTTAATTTATATAAAGTACCCTTGACTAATGCTTAGTCTCTGGATACATATAATTTTGATATTAACAAATAATTGAAAAGGAACCCCAGGGAGACGTGAGATTCGAAACCCGAGGAAATCTAGACTTGCTTAATTTAGGGTTTAGCATGTCACTAGTTAATTGTCAGGGAGGGCTAAGCATTAGGGGAAATAATGCGGTTCAGGGATTGGGAGACAGACTAAAAGTGTCCCAGCAGTGCAAGCATTTCAGGGTTCGAAATACCCCATATATTAGTGTGCCATGGCACGGTAATTATTGAAATGGCACGGCTAAAAAATGTTCTCGGTGCCCTTTTGACACGCCTGATTTTTCAGAGACATAACTCATATTTAGTCATTTAATCCCCAAAACAATTTTTTTTTTTCCAAATTTAATAATACCATACAGATTTGAATGCTCATAAACCTATTTCTTTATTTAACAATAAATTTCAAATGATCATGATCATTGTCATTTATTCTAACAACATGTGGGCATACTCAATTTCTGAAAGGCACACCTAAAATATTTGTCTGGTGCCCTAAGGCACACTTAGAAAAAAAAGTATTTCTATCCCTGCATTTTCATATTTCTGATGTGTAGATGATATGACCACTGAGATTGATTTGGATCCCATTCCTGTGTTTGTGTACCTTGATATCTAATCAGGTCATGTGATAATGTCACGTCAACTGACCTATAATATTAAAATATTAAAAACACACTTGTGCTTTGTTTGAAGCCGTAAACTAAATCAACATTATTTTAGCATTGCTGTAAGTTAAAAATCCACTTAGGTCATTATGTATTTACACAATCATTAACTATAGTACACAGCAATCTGTGTGTGTATTATTTATGCAACAATAAAGTTCTGTTCCTTTCCTTAAACAACAGCAACTCCAGTGTATTTGTCCAAAATTAATGTTTATGTATGTAGGTTTACTAAGCCAGACACACCCATATCTTGTCACAAGATGCCTGTGTAAAAAACAACATCCTTTCTTGGAAAGACAATTCGTTGATTGACTGCACATTAATATTGTTATCTAACTAAATGATTTTTTTAAAGAGCTGTGTCCACAAAAAAATAACTGTCACATGTGCTATTTTGACTAACCATTTAGACTTTGCGACATGGAACAGATTTCTTTGACAGCTTCATATGTATGGTGTGTGAGTGAGTGAGTTTAGTTTTACGCCGCACTCAGCACTATTCCTCATATTTATGGTATGGGATATTATTCCTTTACGTGGATATTGATAGATACATTCCTCGAATAGGATAACAGCCTGATATTATTCATATAGCTTTCGTCCGTTGTAAGTTACAATATTTGCATTTTATTTTCATTCATTGGTTGAACCACGAAGATCCGGGTTGGATTGGTCTTCTGTAACCCATGCTTGTCATAAGGGGCGACTACCGGGATCCGTGGTGAGGCTCGCTGACTTGGTTGATACATCATCGGTTCCCGATTGCGTAGATCGATGTTCATGCTGTTGATCACTGGATTGTCTGGTCCAGACTCGATTATTTACAGACCAGCGCCATATAGCTGGAGTATTGCTGAGTGGGGCGTTGCACAACAAACAAACAACCAACTAAACAGAATAAGCCTTTTTTCCAACTCAGTGAAAGTGTCTTTTGAATCAATACAAATGACAAAATGTCAAGCTATTGAATTAAGTTCTATTCTAACCCACCAAAGATCACAAGTCAGTATTGATCTGTAAATGAGAAATATCAACTCCCAAAGCGTTTGATGGAATTGAGAAATATTAGTGACAATATTGTCTGTAGTAGGGTAAGTCAACACTCTTGCTCTGTTTACCTCTCGTATAGAGGCTGGATGTGTTTACTTGTTACTTAGCATGTTGTTTACTCTTCTCCTGCATGGTATCATAGGTCCAGGGGCCGTCTCAAAACATGCTGACCTATTTTGTTGTATCTTTATGTTACGCAGTGCTGTTTCAGTCTTTTGTGTTATATTCACATTAATATACCTATGACACCTTTACAGCACTTCAAATGAATTGTGGGGCGGTGGGGTAGCCTAATGGTTAAAGCATTTTCTCGTCACGCCGAAGACCCGGGTTCGAATCCCCACATGGGTACAATGTGTGAAGCCCATTTCTGGTGTCCCCTGCCGTGATGTTGCTGGAATATTGCTAAAAGCGGCGTAAAACCAAACTCAGTCAGTCAGTCAAATGAATTGTACTTGCAGCCAGTGCAACCTTAAGTAATAGCCTTGTTGCACAAGAAAAAAATGTTGCACCTGCAGATGAAATCATATATATGCTTGAGTTTTGGTATAAACAAACATAGAGGGTACATCAACCCATGTCCACCTTGTGACCAGTGAACAACTTATAATATCATGCATGGTACAGGGACAGGTGTAATACTATCTCAATATAAATTAAATTAATATATAGAGGATATTTTGTTACCGTTGTCAAATAACATGTATATTTCATCTCATGGTCTGCCAAAATTGATATGTTCACGAGTGGCGGAGCGATGAGTGAACATATCAATTTTGGCAGACGATGAGATGAAAAATACATGTTATTTGACAACATTAACAAAATATTCTATTTATTTTATTTTGATCATTGTTTATAAGTGATCAAGACACTAAGTAAGTCTGCATTTTATTACGCAACCCAACTACAGTCTAACCCTTGGCTTGCGTTCCAGGCAGAAGTGATATTATACACAGTGAAATAACATGTTATTCTACTCAGTAATATTTCACCAATATTTACAGTATTTCTTCCTTAAGAATATATAATAAAGTACATTACACAGGTTGATTTCTTTTCAAATATTTCGTAACACTGTTAATAAACTTCACAATTTTTATTGCTTATAATTGTTTATATTTTGTTTGTGGTGGATGCATGTAATGGTAGTTTTCTAGTTTCTTTATAAAATAGATAAACAAAGAGGAAATCTTATTTATCAGGTCAGCTTTGACGTGAGTCTGTCTGTTAAGTAATTGCATTGCAACAGTGGCATACATAAGTCAGAGCTACAGATAACTATTTGGATCATTGAGTTATGTACACTTGCTTGTGTTCATCTCAGTTGGGTAACCTCATTTTCCTTTGAGTAACCAAATAAATTGTCCTCACCCCACTCAAACACAATTTGGTATTTTGCCATTTTCCATTAATTTTGAAAATATAAAAAAAGTTTAAATGTTAGTGTTTGCTATATATATGTGATCTTTAATATGAGAAACAATTAATGGAAATTAGTAATCAGTATTCTTGTGTTTCGTTTGGTATATGCACCACAACATTGCTACTCTTGTGTAAACAGGTCAATAAACAATAAAACAATACTTTTTCAGATAAATACGTCTGTAAATGATTCTAAGACCGTACACCCTTGCTGTGGTGCGTATCTGCTACGTTTTCAAAATTATTTCCTACCGTATTGTGCATGTTTTTTATCCGTACATACGTCGATACGGCCCTTATCTGGAGCCCTGGATAATAAAGACTGCAAGTTGTCAAGTTCATGTCCTGAAATAGAACCTCTCTGTATACCTCAGTTATTTTATCTATCCACCAGTATGCAAGCTAAGATTTGACATTTTCGTGTGTACGCATGTAAGATCACATTTATTGAGTATTTACCAAAACTCAAGCGTACTTGTACGCAATAGACTTAATAGAAATTGAGTTTTCACATAAATATTTGAGTAATTTACGCAGATACGCAGCTTATCTGTACCTCTGATAAGTACATTACTTCTGCATATTTAGAAACATTTGAAAATTTAGTTGTTTAAGATTTGTTGATAATTTAATCCTCAGAAATTATTTAACAGCAATTGTGACAGAAAGTTTTATACAGATGATGTCTTGAATTGTTAAACTGTTGACTACATAGAGATGACTGTTGTAATTCTTATTCTTATCTAATTCCATATTTAGGGTTGGGAATACGTGAACCAATTAACTACAGACATTAACTAACTACAGACATTAAGTTGCCATGGCTGGGAGAGTCACGTGACTGGGGAGACATGTTTCCTGACTGACCTTGTCAACTGAACATTCCGATCTCAGAAAGACACGTGACAAATGATTTCATCACTAGTTTAGCGTCTTGAGGTTACTTCTTGCCTGTAACAAACGTTACACTGGGGGTACACTGTCTCTGCTACATTTGTTACACATTTAAGATGTATCATGTTACATATTGTTGGATCTTCCTCAGAGGAGGGGGCGGTGGGGTAGCCTAATGGTTAAAGCGTTTGCTTGTCACGCTGAAGATCTATGTTCGATTCCCCACATGGGTACAATGTGTGAAGCACATTTCTGGTGTCCCCCGCCGTGATATTGCTGGAAAGTGGAAAGTGCGTAAAACCAAACTCACTCACTCACTCATCAGAGGAGCCCTGAAACACGATGTGTAAAAATATTCAAAGCTTGAAATCCTTATTGTATGCAGGGCTCCAGATAATTTTTCAACATCAGGAGTACGTACTCCTTATTTTTTTATATAGGAGTACTGGAAAACCTTAAGAGTACATTTAGAGTACTGAATGGAATTTAATGGAGTACCAGTAATCTTGTGTTTCGTTTCATATATGCACAACATTGCTACTCAGTACTCTTGTGTAAACAGGTCAATAAACAATAAAACGAAACTTTTTCAGATAAATACGTCTGTAAATGATTCTAAGACCGTACACCATTGCTGTGGTGCATATGTGCTACGTTTTCTAAATTATTTCCATCCGTATCGTGCATATATTGTATCCGTACATACGCCGATATGGCCCTTATCTGGAGCCCTGGTATGTAAAGAAAGATATGTTAAGGTCCATTATCTGTTGTGTATTTTACTGAGAATCCAAACCGTATATATAGAGAGAGTTGAAATTGTTGTGAGGGGTAAATTATAGCCTTAAGTACAGGTTGAAAGTTGTGTGACACCTTTTAAAGAATTATGAAAGATCCAAGCTACATTTCATATTTTTATGTTATACTGACAATGTGTAATAAAGGAAACTGAGTGAGTGAGTGAGTGAGTTTAATGTTACGCCGCAGTCAGAAATATTCCAGCAATATGGAGGCTGTCTTTAAATAAACGAGTCTGGACCAGACAACACAGTGATCAACAGCATGAGTATCGATCTGCGCAATTGGGAATCGATGACATGTGTCGACCAAGTCAGCGAGCCTGACCACCCGATCCCGTTAGTCGCCTGTTATGACAAGCATGGGTTACTGAAGGTTCATTCTAACCCGGACCTTCACGGGTAAAGGAAACTAAGTAAAAGAGGGATTATATATTTAATAGGGCACTGGCTCGTTCAAGTTTCTGAAATATATATATCTTACAGAATGTTGTTTATGCTGTACTCAGCAATTGTCCACTATATGATGGCAGTCTGTAAAAATAGTCTGGGCCAGACAATGCAGTGACTGATATCATGAGCATCAAATTATACAATTGGGATATGGTGACATATCAAAAAAGTCAGCGAACCTGACCACCCGGTCCTGTTAGTCGATTCATCAGGGGTGGAAATAACTTTAAAATTGCTAGCGTACTCCGGTACAGTGGCACGTGTAAAGTCACTTGCCCTGATAATTTTTCCACTATACCAGCCGATTTTCTTGTTGATTTTTTAAATAAACAACATAATTAACTTTGGAAAGTCAACTGGGCACCGGTACAGCGTGATATACAAATTTGCTTGCCCGACAGAAAAAACCACTGGACTGGGGCGTCGGGCAATGGGTTATTTCCACCCCATATATTTGGGAAATGTACATTTGATTATTCGATTTATTTTTATTGTCGATGATTAGCCTTACACTGAAACGCTCTCTATTATTATTCTAATCCGGAGATTCGCATATTATCAGTGTTGTACGAGCGGAACTTTGGACATGAGCATTTAAATACTGGACATGATTTTATTGCTGGTGATCATCCTCTCTCTGATGCTCACTCTATTACTTGTATTGCTTCAGGTGCTGGTTTATACTTGAAGTACAAGAGCAGCCAGAATGTCGTGTCAGCCGCAACTAAGGTCCGTACTCCCGCTATCCAGAGTGGCCCGGGCTCCATGCGGAGTGACCTGCCCCTGTTTACTGAGGAACAAGTATCACAGCACAACTCGCGACAGAATGGGATTTGGGTGACCTTCAAGAACGGCGTGTACGACATCACAGAGTATGTGGCACAGCATCCCGGAGGAACGAAGATCATGATGGGAGCCGGGAAGTCCATCGAGCCTTTCTGGGAGCTGTATGGCGTTCACAAAAATCCCGAAATTCTACACATTTTAGAAACACACAGAATCGGGAACATTGTATTGGTTGAAGATAAGTCGAAAGCTAAAACAAACGACCCCTATGCTAATGACCCCAAACGGAGCCCTGTGCTTATTCCAAGTTCATCACGACCTTTTAATGGCGAACCACCAACCACCATTTTGGTCGATAATTACATAACCCCGAATGAGCTCTTCTTTGTCCGTAACCACCTACCAGTGCCGAAGGTTGACCCGAAAGATTACAAACTTGAAATGGCTGCGGACAAGTCTTCAGTGAAACTGAACCTACATGACCTAAAATCTAAGTTTAAGTCACAGTCAGTGACCTCCGTGGTTCAGTGTGCCGGAAACAGACGCAGCGAGATGACGAAGATAAAACAGGTCAAAGGTTTAAACTGGAACAATGCAGCCATCAGCAATGCGACCTGGACTGGGGTGACCTTGAATGACCTTCTGAAACATTCCGGCATTGACCTTGACAAGGTCGACTGTCAGCACGTGCAGTTTGAGGGTATGGATAAGGGGCCTGAAGGGGCACCATATGGAGCCTCGATTCCAATTGACCTTGCTCGCTCATTGAAGGACGATATCATCATTGCGTACCAGATGAATGGTAAGGACATCCCATTGGATCATGGCTATCCTGTGAGGGTGATTATTCCGGGCGTGGTTGGAGCGAGGCAGGTGAAGTGGTTGACGAGGATCGTGATGTCAGACGAAGAGAGTCTGTGTCACTGGCAGAGGAAGGACTACAAGGGCTTCAACTCGTCAGTTGACTGGCATAATGTTGACTTCGACAAATCTGTGGCCATACAGCAGCTGCCTATAACATCCGCCATTTGTGATCCTCCAGAGGGCGCGCTGAGATTGAAGAAGGGGCAGAAGAGGTGAGGGTTTTGTACTGAAATTAACATACAGTGGAAACCTGATAAGTAAAATTTCAAGGGACTCTCCAAAATTGTTTACTTATCAGGTATTTTACTTATCCAAACTTATAAAAACCTTCAAATGACAACCATAGGCATGTATATGTATGCATATGTAACAATGAACAACTTATCAGGGCTGGCCTCCAGTTGTTAGCGTATTGTCATCTGCTTGACGCCAGTGAGCTGTAAGTAGGATGTTTGTTTGACTGGAGACTGACACGACTGCCCCTCATGTCCGATTATGTGGTGATCGCTAGTTTAGTTATCCAGTCTCTTTTGTTAAGTAATTTACTTCCAGGGACCGTGAGAAGACGTTTAGTTAAGCGGAATTGCTTACTTATCCGAGTTTAGTTAATAGTGATAATTAATGAAGACATTTGCCGGGACCAAAGAAAAGTGTTTACTTATCAATTCTGTTTAGTTAAGCGGTCTTTACTTAGACAGTTTCCACTGACATTTTTGTGTGTGTTTGTTAAAAGGATTAGAATCGCAGTTTGTTTGTTGGTTGTTTAACACCGTAATCTGCAATGTTCAACGGGCCAGGCAATCCAGTGATCAGCAACATGAGCATCGATGTACACAATTAAAAGAATGGGTTACTAACTCAAAGCCAGATTAGTTAGTTAATGAGTTGGGTTTTACGCCGCTTTTAGCAATATGGCCGCAATATCATTGCAGACCACACCATAAAAGGGCTTCACACATTGTACCCATGTGGGGAATCGAACCCAGGCCTTCAATGCGATGAGCAAATTCTTAACCACTGTGCAATAGGCATATGTTGTATTTCAAGGTGGGTTTGGGTAGTCCAGTGGTTAAAGCATTGGCTTGTTATGCCGGGTTTGATTCCCCTCAGGGTACAATCTGTTGTTCCTTGCTGAAAGCAGCGTTAAACTTAACTTACTGTTAGAATTAAATAGAAACCGGTTTTTTACATGGTCACGATAACGCCTGAATATGTTACTGATTTTCTTACTCGCTCCCCCTGCAGGTGACGTTGAAGGGGTATGCATGGAGTGGAGGTGGTCGCGGTGTCGTGCGTGTGGACGTGTCGGCCGACGGGGGCCAGACATGGCAGGAGGCGGAACTAGAGCCCAACAACCAACCGGCTTACAAGTCATGGGCGTGGACACTGTGGGAGGCCACCATCCCACTTCCTGAAGGTCACAAGGGCAAGGTTAACCTTGTGTGCAAGGCTGTGGACGTGTCATATAATGTCCAGCCTGACAACGTTGATGGAGTGTGGAATCTTCGTGGCGTCCTGAACAACGCCTGGCATCGAGTCTCAGTTACCGTCCCCCCAGAGAAAGAATCGTAAGAAAGGATAATATCCTGAACATCTGAAATTCAGGGTGACGACGAACAATCAGTATTGTCAGAAGTTACAGCTAACAGGGCTTCCCTCATGTCAAGAGGAATGCAAGTAGAGTTTTGTGAAAAGACAAGTTGGTATGACAAGCACCCGAAAGTGATTTGTGACATGTCAGTTATAATATGTCAGGCATGGTTACCATGACAGTGCAGGTGTGATCTGCAGGTTACTTCATGTTGCCATGACAACTATGTTCAGAAGTGCCAGTTTTTCAATGTGTGTTGTAGTTGTCAAAAACCCCTTCAGCTTCATATACACGGAATTGTCATAAACAAATGTGCCATGGTCTCTGAACAGAGTTGCTTCCCTTGACCCTGCCAGGATCTTCACAATTTGCCAAAAATTCTGTTCAGAGTTTTGATAACACAAGGAATGTCACTACTCACAAATACATTGATACATCATGAATTTTTACCAGCTGATACAAAAAACTAAATGGTATCCATTAGAGCTGTGTATTGGCATATAAATTGTATTGCAATATATTGCGATTCAGGTACCCATATTGCGATACGGAAACTTATTGGGAACTTAAGTGTTTGACAGTAAGTGCCACTAATTGTGCATGTCAATCCTATTTTCTACATTATGAGTCTCTGAACATATATGTATCGTTTGAAAAGCGTATTGCGATATACCAGTAATACCATGCAGCCCTGGTATACATGTAACAGTGTTCACGATTGGTGTTTCAAAGTAACAGGACATTGGGTCCTGTAAGTTTCAGATGTCTGTCTGACCCATTGAAAATTCACAGGACCCATAGAATAAAATTAAAAACATTTCACATTTAACATTTCTTATAATTGGCACTGAAATTATTAACAAACTTAAGATTAATAAACAGCAAACAAGTGTCACATGTCACATATAACAACTTCAGTCAAAGTCATTGTGAAACATACAGTCAGACACTGGGTCCGGCGGGTTGTAGACTTCTATCGGACCGTTGACGAATCTTCCAGATTTGTCAGAGGGTCAGATGCTATTCGTGAACACTGCATGTATTGATTAATATTTCAATTCTAGTTTTCAAAAAGGGAAGCAACTGATTTCATGGTGCTGTCAAAATAGGCCTAAACATTTGCCATAAGCTAAACTGGCTACAACCTCTACAATGAAGATATTCAAACAAAAAATGCGAGCTCAAATTAAGCACGGTACCACATATTATCGAGATATGTATTGATGCATGCATGGATGTCTCGTGACGCCCCAGGTTAACACCCATTGTTTAGTTTGTATTTATTTCATCACTCCATGTTTTGTTCATAACAGATTTTGTGTACATAGGGTATTTTAAACAATTTGGCGTTTTTCGCAGACCAACAGGTTAAAACTGGTGCAATGTTATTTCTTGATTTATTTTAAATGTCTAACAGGGAAGTACATGTTCCTTGCTTGTCCCGCCACCATATAGCTGGAATATTGCCAAGTGCAGCGTAAACCTAAACTCACTCACTCACCCATTGCTTGTCACCAGGCGGATTTTGTGACTGGAGTGCAAGGCTGGACTCATGTCCTAGTTGTTGTATTGTAGAATCTCACCTTTGTTTTGCTTGTTAATCATTTACATCTCAAAGATGTTCAAGTGTATCGTTACCATGGTAACAGATTTGTTTCTGCATATCCAGGGCTTGATTTCAGCATTTGGATTTTGCACTTGTTCCTGTTCTTGATCTTGTCTGAACATTATGTCTGTGATTAATTTTTCTAATGCCATGAAATGTTGGATCAATTTCAGTATGTGAACCTGCACAGGTGCAACCTGAAACTGCAAATGCAGTCTCATATTCATACCAACTTGCATCAAGTGCATGTTAATGTTTTGTGTTCAAAGAACACAGACTCTGACTGGAAAACAGAATGATGAGGAACTGGCTTGGAGCAGTGACTGACAGACAGTTACTGAAAGACTGTTCATGTCATGACATTTAGTCAGTCCCTCCTGGATTCTGCGACGAATTTTTAAGAATTCCGCAGCAAATTTAAGTAAATTCTGCATCTCATTTTTAAAATTCTGCAAAATAAAAAGCAGTTAATAACTTGAAAAAAAACACACACAAAAATATTGATTTTGTGAGCGTAATTGCAGTGTCAAATTCAAATAATACTATTGTAAGGTACTGAAGAAAATATTACCTTATGAATAAATCATCTTTATTCGTGAATATTTTGAAAATATTGTTATAACAAATTTCACAGTTCGTTTTTGTGTAACCAATCATACTTTTGATGTTTACCCCTACTTTTCGTTTCGGTTGATAGTCAATGTTGATTCAACTTTCAAAATAAGTAAATTCCGTTGCAGAAAAATGGCAAATTCTGCATGAAAATATGTTTTCCGCGGACCATACGTTTTTCTGCAGAATAGCGGAATCCAGGAAGAACTGTTTAATACTTTTCAATTGAGCAGCAGGTGCAATCTATCGTTGTCTGGTGCAACAGGGTTTTTATCTAAGGTTGCACTGGGTGCAAGAATGTTTCATTTCCTTAAATTGACCCTGGTGTACATGTATATTATCTAAATATACCAAATGTAGTGCTTAATGTGCGTATTGACCAGATATTATTGTACTTTATCTATATATGCAACATAATGTATTCTGTCTGTTTTATACAGATAGTATAGTATTTTGTATATGAAAATATAATTTAGCATGTTATCCATATTTATCATGTTACATTGTACTTTATCCATATATGCCAGATAATATTGTATATTGTTTGTATACCATGGTATACCAGATAATATTGTATATTATTCATATAGGCTTGATAAAACCTGATACGATTGTATGTTGCTTGTATACCATGGCATACCAGATAATATTCTATATTATCCATATGTACATGATATTCAAGATAATATTGTATCTTGTTTGTGCACCATGGTATACCAGATAATATTATATATTACTCATATATGCCTGATATTCCAGATAATATTGTATATTGTTTGTATGCCATGTGTACCAGATAATATTGTATATTATCCATATGTGCTTGATATACCAGATAATATTGCATATTGATTGTATTCCATGGTATACCAGATAATATGACATATTATCAGTGCTAATATTACATATTATCTGCACACCACATAGTGTTATGTACACAGACAACAGTCTGTTGATTGGAGTAAGAATATTTCAGTCCTCCAAGAGGTGATTGGTGATTGGGTAATGTGGCACTAAGTCAACTTTTAGGGTAGGAATATTTCTTTCAATTGTTACATTTCATAAATCTTGCACTTGTACTATTGTGGTGATTATGACTTTGACATGGTCAAACTTTGAGCTTTAATTGCCAAACACAAATGTGACCAAAGTTCCTGGTCCCTGTGAATCGTTAACAGATGTATGCAAAGACTGTGCAGTTGTGATACTGACCAAAATGTACAGGTATGTTCACTGGCCATTTCCAGGAATTTGGATCAGTTCATATTCTGGGACAATTTTTTCCCCAGATGTAATGATATGTAAAATTGTCCCATTGAAAGCTGAAAAAAACCCATGAAATGTCTTCATACCATTTTCTCCTGCAAAATCACTGATTTTTTTTCTTGACGTTCAGGGTAAATATGTTTTATCTAATAAAACCCAAACATATTTCTATTTGCCGTAAAATTTTACACACCTTTGTAATCAGTTTGATTGGCATTTTAGAAGTTTATGAGTAACATAAAAGGTAGGATACTTAATGGATGACAAATTCTTTATAATAATCAGGGGCGGTGGGGTAGCCTAGTGGTTAAAGCGTTGGCTTGTCACGCCGAAGACCCGGGTTCGAATCCCCACATGGGTACAATGTGTGAAGCCCATTTCTGGTGTCCCCAGCTGTGATGTTGCTGGAATATTGCTAAAAGCGGCGTAAAACCAAACTCAGTCAGTCAGTGTTTATAATAATAATCATCATAATATCATAAAGAAGTGGTCATCCACACTGAAGCCTAACTTCCTGACCTGTGTATGTCTGAAACTTCAAGTTTCCAGTTTTGTCGGTAAATTGTGATAAATATTATTTTGTTACTATGTATGCCATTGAACAAAGGCTGGAGGTATTTGATGACGTGTAGTGTACCGGTGTGGTTGTTGACGATGGTGGTATTAAAAGAAATGTTTATTACTTTGTTCTTTCTTTGCAAGGCAAAATGTACATTGTTTCACCAGAATAAAAAGGTTCTGTTGCTAATACGTTACTTCGTATACACTAAATATATATAACTACACGCTGATTTAATTAGTATTTTAATACTAGTTACTTGTTATGAGCTAATGGAGTGTGTTGTTATGACAGTCATACTTACTGATATGTTCATGTTTATTGGTCTCAACAAAATTAAGAAACAATATTCAACCAAATTTTGATTGATGAGAAAATTGTTTTACTTCACTTCAATCTGGTCGGCGGCGGTGGAATAGCCTAGTGTTTGCTTGTCACGCTGCAGACCTGGGTTCAATTCTCCACATGGGTACAGTGTGTGAAGCCCATATCTGGTGTCCCTTGACGTGATATTGCTGGAATATTGCGGCGTAAAACTAAACTCACTCACTCAAGATGATCAGTTGAGTAGTAATGCCCAGGGACAGTGAGGTAGCCTAGTGGTTAAAGCGTTGGCTCGTCACGCCGAAGACCCGGGTTCGAATCCCCACATGGGTACAGTGTGTGAAGCCCATTGATGTGATGTTGCTGGAATATTGCTAAAAGTGGCGTAAAACCAAACTCAGTCAGTCAGTCAGTCAGTAATGCCCAAGTTAAAGTTAACTGTGGATTTTGTGTTAGTGTAAGTCAGTTAGTCAAATTAATGTTATTGCAGTATTATACTTATTACTATACACATTAACGTGCTTGTGTAACATTATGATTACTTCTGAGATATGTAGCGTATTGCGGTGGAGTATAACAGCTATGCAGTACAATACACATTTACAGACGTAGTGCTTG